TTATGTTTGTATTCCCAGTGCCTAGGACAGTGTTTGGCACATGAAAGATGCCTAATAAGTGTGTTCCAAAAGAATGAACGCCCCATTGATCAACCTCTGAGCTCCTAAATGGGCAATCACTCCTTTTACCTAACCACTGCAGAAGGGAAGTAAGTGATATTGAGCATATGCAGGTGAATCCCTTGCCAAATATTTTTCAGTGAGAAAGATGAGCTGCAATTGCTTTTTTCCATCATTACTTCCTTTAATCTTACCAAATCTTGTTAATTCTTGATCTTAAATGTTTCTCAAACCCATTTACTTGTCCTCATCCCCACCACCTCAATCCTAGTCCAAGACACCTGTATTTCTTATCTCCACAACTATGGTAGCCTCTCACCCGGTCTGCCCATTTCTCCTTTTGCCTTCCTTCCATCCATTCCCTATGCTGCAGCTAGGAGAGTCTGTTCATTCCACTCCCTGCTCAAAAAAATCCTTGAATGTTTGTTCCTATTGCCCTTAAAAAACAAAAAGCCCTGAAGACCCTCACATCATTTCTGCAGAGACGCATCCTCTGCCCTCTTGAGACTGAGTTGGGACCCCTGTTGTAGGCTTCCATGGCTCTCCGTACCCCTCCTTTACAAACTCCTAATAGAACTCTAATTGTTTCTTTAAAAAGAAAATGTTTGTATTGGTTTTAGAAAGAGAGGGAGGGAGAGGGACAGAGAGACAGAAACATCAATGAGAGAGAAACATCCATTGGCTTCCTCCTGCACAGTTCCCTGCAACAGCCTTACTGGGGATTGGGCCTGCAACCTGGGCATGTGCCCTGACTGGGAATCACACCAGTGACTTCTTGGTTCATGGGTTGATGCACAACCCCTGAGCCACACTGGCCAGTCTCTGTTTCTTAAATGTTCCCTTTTCCAACTAGATTCAGTTTCTAACTCACTGGGACCATATTATTCTTTTAAAGGTTTTTTTTGTTTTTGTTTTTTAGTTTTTTTTATTGGTTTTAGAGAGAGAGAAAGAGAGAGACATCAACTTTGTCATTCCACTTATTTATGCATTCATTGATTGCTTCTTGCATGTGCCCTGACCAGGGATCAAACCCAAAATCTTGGCATATCAAGACGATGCTTTAACCAACTGAGCTACCTGACGAGGGCAGGCCACATCATTCTTATTCACCAACATATCCTGAGCACCTATTCAGTGAATACACATATAAGAGACTTAATGAATACTGGTGCACACTGTCTGCATGAATGATTTCCACACTGCACTAACGAGGTGACATGCCCAGTGATTGAAGGGAAGTGGCACAGAATTGCTTCTAAATTGCAGAATCAGAGCAAAGATTAAACATCCCTGTGATTTACTTCGGCGTGACTTTTAGACGGGGAGCTCCTGATGTTCTGAAGAATAAGTTAAAAAGCATTGTCATTTTGCTGTCTGCGGCCGGCAGTTAATCAAGCCCCAGTGGGGCCTGATTTCCCATACAGGGAATAAACAAGGTGACATCATGGTCACACACTCCCGAGGGATTGCGCAAGCTGTTGGCTCTGCGTGCTGGTTGGAAGCGTCTGTCCTTGCTGTCTGGGCTGCTAATCATCTTTGATTCTATAGGTCTCCAGGGATGGGTGACACACTTCAGTGTGCCGGTTCCTTTGCCTCCCTGTGACCCTGGGGATCTAGCCTGCCCTTCTGAGGGGATGGCCTCCACTGCAACCCCAGAGTTCCAGGAGAATAGCACTTGCTGGTTTCCAAGCCCTGAATATACTCAGAATCTCCCCTCACTTTAATTTCAACGTAACAGCAGGGGTGTGGAACCTTATTCCTGCCAGGAGCCATTTGGGTATTTATATCATCATTTGTGGCCATACAAAATTATCAGCTTAAAAATTAGCTTGCTATATTTGGTCAAACATTTAATTAACTCACCCCTAATTCCTTGGCAGGGCCAGACCAAATGATTTTATGTGCCTCACGTGGCCTGTAGGCCATCCCTGCTCTAGCACATCAAGGTTCTAAAACTTTCCTGCGTATTCTCTTTCTCTTTTGATCATGGATCTTATGCTTATTGAAGAAAGGAGATAGATTGATAACTACCATTTCCCAATACACACACACACACACACACACACACACACAAACAGATTCCAGTTTAAGTGATCTGGGCAAGCTATTTAGCCTCTTTATGCTTCATTGTTTTCTGTAAAATAGCAATTAACAATAGTAACTACTTCATAGGATGTTGGCAGAGGTCAACTAATACATGTACAGAGTTATAATAGTTCCCGGCAAATAGGTAAATAGGTAACCACTAAGTGTTAACTACTACTATCACATGTATTTTTCTGAAAGGAAATGTGGTCTATTTGAAAAGACATGGGCTTTGACATCGGGGAGACCAGATTTTTATCTTGGCTCTATCAACTACTGTTACTTCAGGAAAGTTATTTTACTTCTCAAAATCTTGATTTGGGCATATATAGGAGAGTGATTAATGCCACTGACCCCCAAGAATAATAGTGACTATTAACCAAGAGACTACACTACATGGAAAGCACCTAGTGAAAGCCAGGCACAGAGGAGCCACCCAGTAAGTGATAGCTTCTGCCTGTTACTCTGCATGGAAAATGCATCACGCCCAATACATAATAAATGAGAACTGCAGTCAAGTTAACCAGTGAGAAGAGGTCTAGGAAGAAGGAAAAGGCAATGCTAACAGATACTGTTAGAAGCATCCCACAGTGGCTGCTCAATGACTGTAGAATTAGAACAACACTTATTGAGTATCTCAAGAATAAGAAAGCGAGCTAACATTTATTGGGTGTCTATGTGCCAGACACTTTAAATAAGTCCACTTTACTGATAATAAGAGAGACTAAGTGGTTGCGAAGGTATCACAGTAAAGCTGGAGTTTTATTTTTTAATTTTTATTTTAAAATTTTATTTAATATTTTATTGATGTTTCACAGAAAGGAAGAGAGAGGGATAGAGAGTTAGAAACATCAATGAGAGAGAAACATCGATCAGCTGCCTCCAGCACACCCCCCACCGGGGATGTGCCTGCAACCAAGGTGCATGCCCTTGACTGGAATCGAACCTGGGACCCTTCAGTCCGCAGACTGACACTCGATCCACTGGGCCAAACCGGTTTCGGCTAAAGCTGGAGTTTTAATCCAGGACTGTGTGATACCCAAAATGGCTTTTCTCCCTATTATGTAATATTTAAACATCTAATGCTTGTCATAAAGATGAATAGACAGTAAGTAGCCAGGAGAATGGCAGGAGAGAATTCCACCCACTGTTTTATGGGGTGGAATTATTGCAGGCAGTATTGGAGAATCATAGATGAGGAGACACTTACAGGAGGGCAACAGTCCATTCCAGACAAGGTGAGAGAGAAGGTGGGAGAGGTGTGTGGGTGGAGAGTCTTTTGCAGCACAGTGACCCCTTAACAGTGAGGCGAGGGGTACATCACAAGCAGCCTTAGGTTGGCCATCAAGTGCACATCAGTCACAGGGTCACATGAATAGACCCTTCTCTCCAGTTCCAGGTGAATGTTCTCACCTGACAGTACCAGAGTGCTGAGAGTACTCACAGCCATTCTCATCTGACCACCCACCCTCCTGAGTAAGTGAGACGTGTCCTCTGACCACCGTGCTGTCCTCTCACAGTTCCTGGGAAACAAAACCTCTCCATTTCACTTTTCTGTTCTTTCTTGCCCCCCCAGCTCCTCAATCCCATTAGTCCTTTTCCCTTCCTTTCCCCTCCCAAGAGCCCACTCTTCCTAGTTTCTTCTTGGATCCATTGGGAGAGAGCAGTGGCTCGGAACTATTATTCTTATGGGAGAGGCATGCACAATTTCCAGACTTTTCACAAAACAGTGATGGTGGCCCTCTGCATATCTCCTAGGTGTTATTATGCCGAGTCTCATCTCTTTCTGTTTCTGAATCCCATTCTCAGGGCTTCCTTTTGTTATCTCAGTTTAGGCATCTGCCAGGGCCAGGAAGGAGGGTGGGCTGGGGAGGTTGTGAATTCAGTCTTTCCCAGGTTCATCTGGGGCAGTCTTACAGTTAAGCAAGTTCACTGGTGGTAGGGCCAGAAAAGCACAGTTGAGGGGACAGGACACTTTGATTCATGGTAACTTCTCTGTGATGGAATTGATTTGCATTGAACACAACTGTAAATAAAAAGAAAGAAATTGCTGAAACAGGAGAAATCTGCTAGCACAGTGGTCGGCAAGCTCATTAGTCAACAGAGCCAAATATCAACAGTACAACGATTGAAATTTCTTTTGAGAGCCCAATGTTTTATTATTATTTTTTTAAATATATTTTATTGATTTTGTACAGAGAGGAAGGGAGAGAGATAGTTAGAAACATCGATGAGAGAGAGTCATTGATCAGTTGCCTCTTGCACACCCCCTACTGGGGATATGCCCGCAACCAAGGTACATGCCCTTGACCGGAATCGAACCCGGGTCCCTTCAGTCCCCAAGCCGATGCTCTATCCATCGAGCCAAACCGGTCCCGGCGAGAGCCCAATGTTTTAAACTTAAACTTTTCTAATGCCACTTCTTCAAAATAGACTGGCCCAGGCCGTGGTATTCTGTGGAAGAGCCACACTCCAGGGGCCAAAGAGCCGCATGTGCCTCCCGAGCCGCAGTTTGCCGTCCACAGTGGCCAGCAGATTCTGGTGAAGTGTAATGACAATGGATAGACTTGTCTATATCTTATCTATGTCGGTCAGAGTTGCACAGAATTCAGGGACTCTCCTGGGAAGACCCTAATCATTGTAAAACAAAGGAAACGGGCTTTGGTGGCTGGGACCCAGATCCTATATTTATAGAAACATAGGATTCCAGTTTCCAGGTTTGTGGTCAAAAGATTTTGGAGACAGATTTAGGTTTAAGCCCTAGTTCCACCATTTACTGACTGTGTGACAAGAAATGTGTTTAAGAAATCTTTGCTCAGCTGTAAACATGAATGCAATGAAATCTGCTTCCTCAGGTGCTGAGGGTCAAACAATAATACCGATATGGCCATGCCGAGCAGCACACCCTGCAGGCTCTCATGCGGTAGCAAAATGACTGCCACGAGCTCAAGTCTCACACTCTCCATCATCTATCACACCGTTTAGATGACCCATGTGATAGCTCCCACAGGAGAGAAAGCTTGCAAAAATGTCATTTTCTGTTTCTTTCTTTCTCTTATCACTTTGTTGCTGCATGTAAAAGTACAAAACACATAAATAACATTATCATGAGACATTCTAATTTCTTTGAGGCTGAAGAGTGGGATTCTAGTGTTTGAAATGTGAATACTGAGTAGATGCATTTTTTAATTTTTTTAAATTATATTTTTTATTGATTTTTTACAGAGAGGAAGAGAGAGGGATAGAGAGTTAGAAATGTCGATGAGAGAGAAACATCGACCAGCCGCCTCTTGCACACCCCCTCCAGGGGATGTGCCCGCAACCAAGGTACATGCCCTTGACCAGAATCGAACCCGGGACCTTTCAGTCCGCAGGCCTACACTCTATCCACTGAGCCAAACCGGTTTTGGCTGCATTTTTAAATTTTATTGAAGTCTAATTTAGGTCTATTTAAAGTGTACAGCTCAAGGACTTTTGACAAATGTATACAGCTATGTAACCACCAATCAAGACTAAGCTATTTCCACCACTCTAGAAAGCTCCCTTATGCCTCTTTGTAGTCAATACCTTCAAAGTACCATCTCAGGTAACCACTGAACTTATTTCTAGCACCAAAGATTGGACTTATTTTTTTCTAGAATTTCCTATAGATGAAGTCATATAGTATGTAGTCTATTATATCTGGGTTGTTGTTTTTTTCAGCATAATATTTTTGAGATTTATCCATGTCATTGCATGTATCAGTTCATTCCTTTTATTGGCGAGTAGTATTCAGTAGTATTTTATTGTATGACTACACCACAATTTATCTATCTGTTGATGGACACTTACTTTGTTTATAGTTTTTTATTATTATAAATAAAGCTGTTCTGACATTTGTTTACAAATGTTTTTGAAATATTTCATTTCTGTTGGGTATGTATCTAGCTGTAAAATTGCAGAGTCACATAATAAGTATATGTTTAAATTTTTATATGTTTATAAAAAGTGCCTAACAGGCCCTAGCTGGTTTGGCTCAGTGGGCAGGGCACTGGCCTGCGGACTAAAGAGTCGTAGATTCAATTCCAGTCAAGGGCACATGCCTGGATTGTGGGCTCAATCCCCAGGGTGGGGTGTGCAGGAGGCAGCCAACCAATGATTCTCTCTCATCATTGATGTTTCTATCTCTCCCTTTCCCTTCCTCTCTGAAATCTATATATAATTTAAAAAAAAATGTTTTTGAAAAGTGCCTAACAGTTTCTGTTATAAGAGTTCTGATTGCTTCATGTGTTTGCCAACACTTGATATTGCTTTAGTCATTTTTGTGGATGAGAAGTGCCAACTCATGTTGTTACCACAACTAATTGTACTTATCAAAGAACAATGTGGCAACTCATTGTTCTGATCAAAGATAAAGACAAGCAATTATTTGAATATTAATTTAGCATATACTAAGGACAGTAGAAATGTGACTGGGGATATTGGGTTTACAGTTCCGAGAGGGAGATAGAGAGGTCAATAAATAGGCAGTGTTCTCTTTATGATGATTGCCATAAAAGGGAAGCACAGGATGCTCGTCTACCATATTTTGGAACCTGAGTCATTTTGGAGACCTGAAGCATTAAGTATAAGGAATAGGCTAGAAATGATGCTGGAGAGGGAGATTGCTTAGAGTTCTAAGTTGCAAACAACAGAATCCACTCAAGCTTATTTTAGCAGAAAATACATTTGTAAAAGAATATGAGGTACTTCACATTTCCAAGAGGACCAGAGAGTGGGGTTTGGAAGCCATGGTACAGAAACAATGCCCAAACCATCCCATAGGACTTTCAGCAAAGATCCATTGCCACCTCCCTGCTGATATGGTCCCTAGAGCTCACTAGCTGCAGTGACAGACACCCAAACCTCCATTTGGCTGCCCCCCACCAAAGCTGGGTGATTTTCTTTTTTTTTTTCTCTCTCTCTTTTTTTCCCCTCTCTCATTCTTGTCTTAAAATGGATTCTTTGGAGAGCCTGCTTCCTCACACAGCTCACTTCTGAGCAGAATATTACGTAGTTATGTATGATAGATCAAAATGAGCTCCCCAGTTCAAGTTGGGAAAATGAGTTTTTCTGGCCTCTCTCTTCAGTAGGCAGGACTCAGGAGGGAAGGCACACCCCGATAATAGAAAGGATGCAAAAAGCAGGGGGAATGTTTACACAAAAACTTGTATAAGAATGTTTATAGCCCCAAACCGGAAATAGTCCAGATGTCCTTCAACAGGCAAATGGTCCATCCATACCATGGAGTATTACTCAGCAATAAAAGGAATAGATTATTGATACACACAATGACTTGGATGGATCCCCAGGGAATTTTGCCAAGTGAAATAAGCCAGTCCCCAAAGATTGCATACTATGTTATTCCATTTGTATAACATTTTGAAATGATAAAATTTTAGAAGTGGAAAACGAATTGGTCCTTGCCAAGGGTCAGGGATGGGGAGAGGGCACAGTGGGAAGGAGGTGAGTATGGTTATAAAGACAGCCATCATCTTCTGCATCTTGACTGTGGATGCAGATACGTGGACCTGCATACACAATGAGATGTTATGAACAAAACACACACACACACACACACACACACACACACACAAGTGAGTACAAATAAAACTGGGAGCTCTGAATAAGATGGGTGGATTGTGGCAATGTTAATATCCTATTTCTGATATTGTACTATAGTTTTGTAAGATGTTAGCATTGGAGGAAACTGGGCAATAGGTATATGGGATCTTTCCTTATTATTTATTTCAATGATGTGTGAATCTACAATCATCACTATAAAAAAAAAAACCAGTGGAAAGCCAGAAAACACTAAAAAATTTGGGATTTTAAGAGCTGTGGGGAACTATAGAGGAATTTTAAGCAGGAGTGACACATGTCTTCATTTAGCACCGGTTTTCTGTCCAGTGGTAGGATAATATTATCCTGGTTTAAGTTACGACTGTGACATTTTAATTTAAAATACAATTTAAAAGATCTGTTTTGGGTTTTTTTTTTTTTTTTTTTTTTTTTTTTTAAACAACCTGATGTAGTTTCCCAGAGTTTCCAGGAAGGCAATTTTAGGGCCAATACATGAGCTCTGATTCCTTCAGCAGAAATAATGAGGATTTGGTCTTTCATTTCTTCCACATGCATTTATTAAGCATCTGCTATGGGTCAGGCACCATGCCAGGTACTGTAGATTCTGGTACTATAGACTGAGACAGTCCTGACTTTGGAGAAACAGCAGTAGTTCTAATAAGAATGGGATCTATTGGGGTATCATGTAACCTAGGGGTGTCGAACTCAATCAGAGAAGGGGCCAAAATCTAAAATCCAGCCTAAATCGCGGATCGAATGGTTTACTGAACAGTCATAAACTGTCATTGTGATGGAAACGCAGCGGAGTGCAGTGATGACAGCACGGTGCGGGCCACATTGCAAGGCCTGGCGGGACGGATTTGGCCCGCGGGCCTTGTGTTTGACACATGTGATGTAACCCAAAGACTGGGGACAAAGTCCAGAGTTGGTGCAATGGCCTTACAACGTCACCAATATCCCAGGCTCCTCCTATCTTTTTGTTCCTTCATCCTTAGCCCATGTCTCCATCCTCAAGCTTACCTCGTGGTGGCAAGGTGGGCACACTGCAACTCAGATGGAAGAAGAAGAAGGAAGGGAGAGCAGCGGGGACCTGCCAGCTGGATCAGCAAACTCCCCTACTCCCCAGGAAGGTGCATTCATCAGCTTCCCTTTGCATGTCTTTGACCATTCCTGTCTGCCAAGGAGCTGGAGAATTGGGATTCTCTTGTTGGGGCAAGGAGAGAATGGATAACGGTTGGTAACTAGCAATCTCAAACACACAGGTGTTGTAATCCAGAGCGAAAGGTAAGTACGCAGCTAGTGAGCAACTACCTGTGAGTGTAATAGAAGTATGACATAAAGGCTGCAGAGCCACAAATCAGAGAAGGCTCACAGAGAAAGAAACCTTCTGAAGAAATGCCTAGTGGAGGGAACTGCACTATATGTACCGAAGTGTTAAAGGCCTGTCGTGTTTAAGACAGAATAGTCGGATGGAGTTGTTTGGAACGTAAGATATTTTCAGGAGTGTCCGGAGAAGAGTCTAGAAAAGTGGGCTTGGCCCAGAACAGGAAGAGCCTTGAATGCTGTGCTCGGGAGTTTGGACTTGGTCCTATGAAGCAGTAGTTCTCAAACTTTTGCATATGGGGCTTGTTAAAATGGAGGCTGTGCCCCTCCCTCTCCCTCCTCTGCTAGAGTTTCTGATTGAGGATATCTGGAATGGGCCCTGAGAATTTGCTTGTGCCTTTGTAACAAATCCTTGCTGATCAGGGGACCCTATTTGGAGAACCACAGGAATAAGGAATAAGAGTTTTCAAGTAGGGGAATAATGTGATCTTTTTTCTTTTTCTTTTTGGAAGGAATCAGCCTGGGGACTGAGTGATCTTTTGCAGAGTATAAATCTCTCAAAAACAGCAGCTTCCTGTAAGCACAGCGCTAAAAGGTAGGCAGCTACCCCCAGAGGCATCGCACAGCTCAGCAGAGATAGGATTAAAGGCAAAGGACTAGGTGTGGTGAGCATCTGGGTCCGGTTTTGTGTCTGTGACCAGCTGGTTATATGAACTGGGACACATGTTAACCAATCTGAACATCAATTAGGACGTCAGCAACAATATTTAGTACCATTTATTAAATGGCGACACTATCATCTTGTTTGATACAACTGTCCTAAAAGATGGGTATTATTATTCCAATTTACAGGTCAAAAAAACAGGAGATAAAGAAACTTCCTCAAGATCCCGACTATTAAAGGGTGGGGTTAGGATTCAAAACCAGGATTCTTTTTTTCAACTCCAAAGCTCATGTCATGATTTCTGAAACCGGGGTGTACAAATGTATTTTTTAGCAATTTATAAGATTTCTATGAGAATTTTAAAAATTGGATATTACTAATGTTAATCTTTTAAAAATTCCTTTAAGCAAACATTGGATACTCTGGATTGTAAGGTTCCAGGCGCAGGAAATGGGAATCGGAGACTAAGGCATGTTAAAAGAGGAAGTTTATTCCGCAATAATGAGTGAGATTCATTACGAAGGAGGGTTGAAAAACCAGGATTAGAGGAAGAGGAGGAGGA